GGGCTGAGGCGTCGGGGTGACGCGGCGCGTGTCCCGGGCAGGGCTTCCGCGTGGACGTGGTGCGTGAGGAGGAGGATACGCTGGAGTTCGACATGGTGGGCATCGACGCGGCCATCGCCAACGCCTTCCGCCGCATCCTGCTGGCCGAGGTACCGCTGTGGGGCCGTCCTGGGCTTGTCCTCCCCAGCCACCCCTCTCCTGACACTTGCTGCCTGCTGGGTTTCTGCAGCAGGGCCTGGGGACAAGGCCCTTGCCAGACAGCTAAGCTCTACCTGCAAGACCCCACACGTGTGTGTGTCCTGTGCTGTCTTAGTCCCGCGTTGTGTGTGTTTTAAAAGTGAAGTAAAAACTTTTTCTGTATGTGTGTCAGGGGCCCAGAGAGAGCTGGGGCCTGAGCTGCATGAGCTATAGCAGTTGTAGGTCTTCAAGAACACGTTACTCAACATCTTTGTAGTGACTATAGGTTAGCCTGTCCATTACTCTTATTAATCTCTGGGAATAGAGGGAGATCTTGTTCGTGTTTGTGCTAGGTAGGCTGATTTGACAGAAATACTAGTGAGAAGAGCCTATGGGGCAGCTATTTATGGGAGGGAAGGAGCAGTGAAAACAAGAGTGTTCTAGATGGATATTTTGGTCATTTATAGTTGGACTGTCATCTTGTACTGACTTGATCTGCTCTCCTGTCCTTGAGGTGCCAACGATGGCTGTAGAGAAAGTCTTTGTGTACAACAACACGTCCATTGTGCAGGATGAGATTCTGGCTCATCGTTTGGGCCTTATTCCTATCCGAGCTGACCCTCGACTCTTTGAGTACAGAAACCAAGGTGAGAGCGTCCCTTCGATCAAATAGAAATATTGAAGATTGCCCCCAGAGTAGGAATCTAGGGGTCAGATAAACCGAACAGAAGTGTGATTCTGCAGAGACTTGTGCAATTCTCTCTTTTCCAGGAGATGAAGAAGGGACAGAAATTGATACACTGCAGTTTCAGCTGAAAATAAAATGCAGCCGAAACCCTCAGGCAGCCAAGGAGTCATCTGACCCCAACGAGCTGTACATCAATCACAAAGGTAAGGTCTTTCCATGTCCTAAAAACACGTGCTGTTTTTCTCTTGGGAGACACGAGTTGGTCTGTTCTCTGAATTCCATGAGCAGAGAGAGCCGATTCCCTTATTCTGCTAAACTTTTTGCCAGCTGCAGTCAGCTTTCTGAGGCTGATGGTTGTGGCTCCCCTTCACAGTGTACAGCAAACACATGACATGGGTGCCCTTGGGGAACCAGCCAGACCTCTTCCCCGATGCCGACTTCCGACCGGTGCACGATGACATCCTCATCGCGCAGCTGCGGCCTGGCCAGGAGATAGATGTGCTCATGCACTGCGTCAAGGGCATTGGTGAGTCCTGGCTCCCAGGGCGAGGGGAGTGGGTGCCTGAGTGCTCGGGCTGGGACAGGGATGTGTGGAGGGAGTGGTGGCAGGCTGGCTCCCTCCTTGGTTCCGTTCTTGTTGTGCGAGGCCTCTCCTCACCCTTACCTCCCTGTGCAGGTAAAGATCATGCCAAGTTCTCTCCTGTGGCCACGGCGAGTTACCGGCTGCTTCCTGACATCACTCTCCTGCAGCCTATTGAGGATGAAGCAGCTGAGTTGTTGCAGAAGTGCTTCTCCCCTGGAGTCATTGAAGTCCAGAACATCAAGGGTACTTCATTCACTGCTTGAAAGTGCCTTGTTTCTTGCGAGTCTTAGCAGAGACTGATTGGAGACTAGAGCCAAGCCTTGTAGAAACAAAACCACATTGTGCTGTTATCTTGCTGGTCAGCAACTGAATCTGGTTTTGTGGATGAGGGGCTGTCATGTGCAAACGTGTTTGTGGGTGAGCTGGGGTTTCCCTCAAGTGCTGAGGTACCGTGTGTCTGGGTGCAGAGCCCTGTGGCTGCCTACTGCAGCTTCCAAGCAGTGTGTGTCAGGCTGGGCAGCGAGCAGCTGAGTGTGGGATGACCTGCACCCTGCCCAAGGCTACGTACAAGTTTTGGGTTTGTGCCAGAGTTGCCCATTTCTATCATGTCAGAGTTTTGTGTTGGGGATGTGCTCATTCTTTACATATGTGACTTCCCAGCCTTTGCTGGTGGGTGAGTCCGTGTTTGGGGTGCCGTTTGGTTGTGGGAAGCGAGTGTTCCTCTTTGCTGCTGGTGCCCAGCTGTTTTGTCTCCTTTGCTTTAGGAAAGAAAGTGGCAAGAGTAGCAAACGCCCGACTGGACACATTCAGCAGGGAGGTTTTCCGTCATGAGAGTCTGAAAAACCTTGTGCGCCTGGCAAGAGTGCGGAATCATTACATCTGTAAGTGAGCCCTTCTGCTCGGAGCAGGGAGCCTGTCTGCTGCGGCGCAGCTTGAGCAGAGGCCTGGCCAGCACGGCTCTCATCTCTGTTCTCCTTCCTCGATCATCAGCACTGGCGTATTTGATGCTAGTGGGTGGTTGCTGAGCCTGTGGTTTGGTGCTGTTTTGGAGATGTGTGTGCTGCTTGCTGGCTAATGCTGTAAGCTCTCTGGTTGTGGAGGTTTAGCCTGACAGGAGTGCTGTGTAAGGGAAGATGCGGGGGCAGAAAGGCTGCAGCTAGGTGTAGGCTGAAGCGTGTGGTGGTGCTGACTTGTGTCCCTGCAGTTTCAGTGGAATCCACGGGTATCCTGCCTCCTGACGTGCTGGTAAGCGAAGCCATCAAGATTCTGATGGGGAAGTGCCAGCGTTTCTTGAATGAGCTGGACTCTGTGCCTATGGAGTGAGCAGGCTGCGGCTGAGCAGAGCATCTCTCCACTGCTGCCTTGGGCTGCCTGCAGGGCTGGATCTTCCTCTGCAGGCAAGAGCTCTGGGAACTGTGTGTTAGATTCCCAGGACCATCTCTCTGTTTGTTTTCTGTTTGTAATGAGCCTCATTGAGGAGAAGCCCTTAAAGGCTTTATTTTTTAATAGTCATGTGCCTCTGTACTGTTAGCAGTTATAAACCCTAATATACAGAGAAGAAGGTGCCAGCAGGCCTAAAGAGGTGTGGGGCAGAAACAGCAGTGTCCTTGCAGGCAGCATTTGCTCCCAGTACCAGGCCTGTCCCCTGCTACTGTGCCGTGTTGCAGACTCGGGCTCTGCTTCCAGTTTTTTTTCAGACAGCTGGTAACTAGTTGCTGGGGGACTGGTGGCTTCCCTGTCAAGGGAAGCGCAGCAGGTGCTTCACCCATGCTCTTGCACTGCCACATCTCTCTCTGCTGCAGAGCCTATCCTGCAGGACCTAATTTAATTCTTCTTACGCTTAAGAGCGTTGGAGTGAAACAGCCAGGCCCGCGTTGTGCAGCCCACACCTCCTGGCTTAAAGCTCCCGCCAGCCGCGGCGTCTCCCTCACGCTCTCGCTTGCTGGAGCCGAAGCCAGTCCCGTGCTGCAGAACACGGCTTGTGTGTGCGAGGAGCCACAGTGCCAGCACTGACCTCCAGAACTTCCTTCTGCTCGGGACTGAGGTTAGGTGTTCAGCGCCTTCATCCAGGTTTTACCATTCCTTTTCGAAAGGAGTAATTTGTAGCTGGATGGCTTCAGTTTAACCAAGCTGAAGCAGCTTCCCCCAGGGACTAATAGTGAAGGTGTTCAGGCCCAGCTCTTTGAGGACTTCTCCTTTATTTACTTGTAAGGGAGGATTTTCTTGCAAGAAACAAATCATCTTGGGTTATTGAAAGGGTAAGCTGAGAGAATTAAAGCTGAATAACTCAACTACAGCACTGCTGCCATCTGTTGTTCCTCACAGAAATAGCAAGGGTGGTGCCAATGCCTACAGCAGCAGCCTCAGCAGCTTTCTAGGGCTTTCTTTGGTTATTCCAGGGTATTTCCCATCCCCCAGCACTAAAGACCTTTAATTACGTAGAGTTTGATGTTTGGTACATATTGAATGGAATTTAGGGAAGAAGTGACCCTGAATGATCAGTTACACATGTGGGAATGTCATTCATGCTGGAAGCGTTCAGAAAGCTTCCAACCACAGAGAACAAAAATTCACGTGAGAACATCAGGTTCTTCAAACAGACAACAAAATGTGGGATTGACCCAAGCCCTCCCTTCTTGGGACACAGTGAGGAAGCAAAGCAGCATCCTGGAGGCCAAGCTTGTCTCTCTGCCCTACTTCAGTCAACCTTATCCCAGTGGAAGAAAGAGAGGAGAAAGAACTCACTCCTTTACCGTGATGAGGGATGTTGCCACCTCCTACTGACTGATGCGCCTGCACTGACTGAGGTACTATAAACTCTTTATTAATGTGTCCTTACAAGCTCCTGCATTCAGTATAAGGCAAAAACCCTAGAACTTGCCCTTCCTTGGGGTTTCAAGGTGTGCTTTGTCTGCTGTAGCCATGTCCAAGGGTTCTTTGTAAACACGTACCTTTTCAGCTTTGACCTCACTAGCTGCAGTAGGAAAACCAGCTCTGACAGATCAATGAATATTTCTAAATATATCTTTTTCCTTGTCTTCTAATTTATTTAGCTAGGGTGGGAGGGTGCATCCCCATCCTGCTTATCAGCATGTGACAATTCCCCAATTACACTGACTCCTAGCAAAGGTGCCTCCGGTGTAGCAGATGGGACAAGGAATGAATGACCCTTAGAAAGGCTTCAGCTTTTATGGAAGCAAATTGAATAACACAAAACGACACCATGTGTATGAAACTGGAATAGCTTTACTGACATTCAGAGGTGTAACACAACCAGTTCAGAGACAGCTTCAGATTTAAACATTCCTACAAAAAAGGTTCTAAAAACCATTTAAAAAACCCCTTGTGTCTAGCATGAAGTCACAGAATGTTAAAAATGCCACAACACAATAAATACACCCAGCCTTTGCTAAAGCCAGGAGTTATGTTAGCTGAGGAGTTTAAAAAAGTGAGGCCAGGAGAAGTGTGGAGGCTGCTGGAAGAGCAAGGTGAGTGGCGTTCCCAGGCCTGCTCTTCCTCTCAGCCCCCTCCATGCTTTTCAAAGCCCAGCTTTTCTGTCCAGTCCACCCTAGCAGAGACATGACCTTTGTCCCTCTCATGATTTTTCTTTCTCTGTCTCATGGAGGGCAGGACTGCCAGCTAGTGCTGGACAGAGCGTCGCAGCTCCTGTACCACTGTGCTAACGTTGTAGTAGATTGAGTGAATCAGTTATCGTGTAAGAATAGCCAGCTTTGGGGGCCTGGAGTGGTTTGTAGATTCCCACCTCCTCCAAAACCCAGTTTCTGGGCAGCCTTCCCCCTGTGAACTGTGTTATGAAACCTGCCTCCCTCCCTCCTGCCAGGCCCTGCACTCCTCCAGCAAGTACCATACCGGTTGAAAACAGAGGCTACTGTCACCTCCACAGCACCAGGGTGGCCTCAGCCCTTTGGGTGCAGGTGCGGCAGCTCCTGCTCCAGATTCTGTATACCTGCACACTTAGCACACCCAGCCACAAGGCATGGTAAAAAAATGCTCCTGTCCTGCTCCTGAGGGGTGCCTGAGAAAGGCTGGCATGAAGCAAGAGCCTTCCCTGTGGCGCAAGGCGGAGCAAGACCCATGGCACGTGAACGTACGTGAGGACAGTGCCCACCTCCCTGCAGAGAGGAGCTGCACCTTAACAAGACTGAACTCGGGGCGAGTCCAGAGCATGGTACGGCTGCCTGGTACCCAGCCCAGGCCCTCGGAGGCCACGGGTGGAACAGAGTCAGCAGCAGCCACGTCCACCAGGGACAAGTACCTACGGGCACAGCGGGAGTGTCTGACGTGTTCCCTGCCAAGCCTGGTTACCACTGCCCCAACTAGGACTAGGGTGGCCCCGCTGCAGACGGGCACTATTCTGCCTTTTGCATTACTCCTAAACGCCACAGGCTGAAGAGGAGTTAGAGACACCGAAGGTCAGAGCACGGCCAGGCTTTACCTAACAGAGTCTGTGGGCTCAGCTTCCCCCTTGCAGAGAAGCAGAGATCGAGAGTGACTAACACTCGGAGGGGAGGGGAAGGAATCAGAAAAGCTTAACGGACTGGATCCAATGGCACCCCAGCACCTTCCACATGTAGGGAGGGCAGGACCTGTAAGGGGTTTTATTCAGGTAAATGCTTCTGGAGATGACAGGTAGAATCTAATGTGCTTACTATGAGGAGAGACAGAAGGGGAAGAGATGGTGGCAGCGTCCCTGCATCAGGGCTCAAAGAGTGTAGTGAGGCCCTCTCCATCCTCATTTTCTAGCATGTCTGTCTCCAGTGATGGCTTCACCTTTTTGAAGAGAGAGGGCAGGTTCCGGATATGAACTTCCTTGCGGAACTGCTCCCCAAGGGACTTCTGCAGAGGATACAGAGGCGTTAGTCACTGCAGCCTTCACAGGCCCGCTCAGCCTCAGGGCCTCCCCCCTGCACTTGGGAGGCAGGCAGGCCCCAGAGTGTGAGAAAGTCCTAGCCCCACACTGCTGTGGGGCTTTTAGAAAACTCAGGTTTAGTCTTTCCAAAGCACCAGAGCATCTCAGTAAAGGCTACTGTGGACTGCTCTGCACTCCTGTGCTTCAACACCTCATACTCCAGCCTCACCAGAGGCCTGCAGCTCTCCAGCAGCTTTGCTCAAACATCCGAGCAGCTCCTTGGCCCCTGCAATCACTTTTGTGCCGAGTACCCACTGCTTCTTGGAGAGAAGCTGCTGCTAGAGGTCTTTTCCATCTGGGTTACCATCCCCAGCCCTCACTGCTGCTTGAAGAGACCCAGTAAGATATTCTCAGTGTTCCTGAGACTGCACTGCGGCAACCTCCTGCTTGGAAAGGGACGTGCTGGCTACTGTCAGGCTGCCTTCACAGGCATGGCTGGGGGCTATAAAAGGAAATGGGTTCATTTTGCTCTAGGATATCACCTACCCCAATGCAGCCTGCGATGAGGCGCTTGAAATGATCCTTCCGGCGCTTATCTGCCACTTTCTGCAACGTTGGGTTGAGAAGTTTTGACTCAAACTGCTCCAAAGATTCCCTCTGGATGTCTGGGATCTGCTCCATCACTACCTTGAGCTCAGTGTAGCGAGGACGCTGCAGGGAGAAGGCTGGTCAGGATGGCTCTGCCAAAGGAGCTGTCCGGTCCTCCCGAGGGACCGTCAGCTCCTCGGCTTCCCTGAGCTGAGCTGCTCCACTAGCCCCCGGCACCGCGAGGGAGAGCACAGCTCCTCACCAAGGCCTCGTAGATCTGGAAGGCCAAGTGGACCAGAGCGGCCATGCAGCCATCGTGCTGCCCGTGCATCTGCAGTCCCCTGAGCACACTTGTGAAGAACCAGGACACGGCATCAGGCAGCAGGTTTCCTGCGAGCACCTGGGGAAGAGGCACTGTCAGCAGCGAAGCAGGATACTGACTCACGACTGCCTTTGCCCAGCAATTTACTCATCCCAAAGGAGAAAGTGCCGTGGGATGAAGCAGCCTCGTCTCTCCCTCACTCAGAGCTTCTTCTCTCAGCTGTGCAGAACTAGCCCTGCTCTCTCCCCGAGGTACCTGTTTGAGCAGCGGCCAGCAGAGCTGCGTGGTGGTTCTTTGGCACGACAGGGTGTCCTTCCAGGAGAGGGACGTGAAGGCAGTGATTAACATAGCAGTGCAAACATCCTGAAAAGGAGTCAGGAGGTGAAACAGGCACAAGAATTATTTCCCACCTTGAGGATTTGTGTCTGAAGGAAGCCAGGAGGCAGCCTGGGACTGAGGATGGGGACAGGGTCAGGGAACACCCAGTGGGGCTGGATGCCCAGTGCCTGCCCACATAGGAGGCCACAGAGGGCAGGAAACACTGTAGTTGCATGTTATACTGAACCCCAAGCCTTGAATACTTTGTTGCTTCTGCAGCAACTGACAGGGCCCTTAAAAATAAGGATGCTCCTGCCAGAATGATTCTCCCACTGACTAGGTCCTTGTAGCAGTGTCTGGCTGCACTGCAGACAAGCGTGGCAAGGAGCACAGCAAAAGGATGGTAAAATGAAGGGACAAGCCCTTACCTCCTGCTTCATCAGACACTTGCCCAGCTCGGTGAGCTCTGCGCTGGCTGGAGGAGTCACATCTGTAGCCATCACCTCGTCATCTGCAGAGCGGAGCAGAGGCAGCGAGTGTGGCACCCCCAGGGAACAGGCAAAACCAAAGTGTCCCCGCCAGGGATGGGACACACACAGGTATCCTGGTACCTCCCGCCAGAGCATCTGCCCCCCGGCAGGCAGCACCCAGCCACTACGAGGCAGGAAGAAATGACTCCAGCTAAGAAACGACCGTGCACGTGCCCTGTCCCCTCCAGGAGCAGGCTGGGCTCTCCCTGTTTAAGGGATGGGAAAAGTGTTGGCACGCACCAAGAGGGGAAGCGCAAAGGTGACCGTTTACTCACCATCTCCGTCTAGAGTGGCAGCTGTGTTTTGCTCGACGCCTTTCTTAGAAACACAGCAAACGGCTGCAAAAAACAACTGCAGGTCAGAGGGGCCGAAAGGGAAAGATGCTACTTCAGGACACGCAGAGATCATCCTGCACAATCTGCTGGGCTGACAACTCCTTCAAGCTCCCCCCAGCTCTCCCTACACCTTGTTCTTTACACAGTATCTGAAGAACCCAAAAGCACAGTCTAAAAGCCAAAAATTACCCTAACTGAACGTGTGAAACACTCTGCTCACATGATCCTTTCTGGTGGAACCTGCTGCGAGGTGGCTGCTTTGAACTACTAAGAACCAGGAACGTGCAAAAACCATTTGAAGCCTAGAACCTGAGGAAAGGAGCGTGTACAGCAACAGGGCTAACAGGAAGGCAGAAGCAAGGCTGTAAAGCTATGTGGAATTGATTTTTCCAGTCTCTGCTCAAAACCACACTGCAAAAACATGAGGCTAGAGAAAAGGAACACAAAAGAGATCTGCTTGTGGCGAGAAAGTCTTTCCTTGTGATTGCCTGGAGATGTGACAGATGCTGACAACAAAACTGCCCTTTGCTCAGATTGTCCACAAATCAGTGTCATGTTATCAGCCTCCAGGCCGCAGGAAGAACCCGGATCTCAAAGGAGGACTGGAGATGTTATCAGCCTCCAGGCCGCAGGAAGGAAGAACCCGGATCTCAACGGAGGACTGGACTCCTACAGGGACAGTGCCAAAACCACGGAGCCCTAGAGGCCAACGACACAAAAGGAAGGCAATGCTTGCTCTCTCACAGGTTGTAAACTGAGCTCTTACTAGGTTTTAGTTAAGATTATCACAGGGTTAACTATCTCATATCTGGCTTCTGAGGATTATGTTAATCTCTTCCAGCTGTAAATTTAACTGCAAACTGAATATTCCTGTAGTCCTCTCCAGGGCAAACTTCCCAAACATCCCAGTGGACCTAGCTTAGGTTCACTTACTGATGAGATCCATGACTTCGCGGGTCAGCAACCTGACCAGCTGCTCCTCAAGCATCTCCTGAGACTCAGGATTGTCGTCTGCAGCATCATCCTCACTGAGGAGAACAGGTTTTAGTGTGAGGGGAGCCAGAGCCTTAACGTATCACTTCTGCCCAAGCACAGGAGTGAGTCACCAGCAGGATAAACAGAGAGTGAGGCTGAGAACTGGCTCAGACCACCACTCCCCTGGCGAAGCAAGGCGGGGAATACTGAGGTGCAACTGCGGCCAGGAATAGGATGGGCTGAGCAAACTCCTCACCAGCAGTATCTGGCATTAGTAAGTCCAAAAGCAAAACCAGGGAGCTGCAGGCTAAGTCAACGTGCCAGAGGAATCAGTGTTTTTCAGTGCTCTGCTGGTGGGCCTGTTCCCACCCCCAGGGCAGGAGGGCCCCCGAAAGCCAAGAGCTCCAGCCCCCTCCCCGTTCCCCCCTGCAGCACTCACCAAGGGATGGCGCTTACCAAAACATGCCTCGCTGGTTGATCACTTGCCATTTCTGAGACAACCTCTGTTTAAGACCAAGACAAAAGGGAAGATTCAGTAACTTCCTCAGGAGCTATCCTGAATCCAGTGTAAAAAAGACCCAAGCACTACTCGCTAGGAAGTAGTGACAACTGCTGATAGAAACGCTTGCAGGAATTGCTAGCACTGCTCTCAGCCCGACTTTGAACAGGACAGAAATTGCTCGTTAGCTGCAGTGAAGAGCCAGAAAGCCGTTGTGGCTGTGCTGGCTCCAAGCTGTCAGGAAAATGAGGGGCCACAAGCACGATGACTCCTACAGAAATGCTCGTGCCCGAAGAGCTGACATCCTCCAGTTTGAATTGAGCACAAGGCGTGCAGGACAGCCTCACGAGCGCCCTGAACAGTATCAGGGCCTCAGGCAGCAGGGCTGTGCCCTCGCCACGGCTGGGAAGCACCTCCTAGCATTCCCACCGGGACAGGCAACAAACCAGCTCTCTTACCACATGCAGATATGTGAAGAGTGGTCCCAGCATGGGGCAGACAAGGGCTTCATAGTATTCTGGGGGACAGGAGAGTACCAAGGGCTTAACAAACACACCTGCACAGAGCAGTTAAGGAAAAGACCCAGCACATGTGGCTGGCCACCGCCCTGAATTAAGAGGGGACACATCTACCCAGGCGTGAGGTGCTCAACCTCCTCCCCTGACAATTCAGCTGAGGAAGCAGCTGTGGAGTGAATGTCCAAGTACTGGGAAGCGGACTGGGACGCCCAGGTCTCCCACGCAAGCACCGGCTCTAGTCAGACACCCCACTGCCAAACACCTCCTCTCTCCCAGCCCACTGGCCACCCAAAAGGCAATTTCCATCTCTGAGGGTGTATCAGGACAGCACAAACCCTTCGCTCGTATCCCAGAGCCAGGGCACTGCTGTTCCTGCTCATGCCCTGCTAGGCTGACACCTCTGCCATTCCATGTGTACCCCTGTTTGCCTGCCTTCCCAAACATCCTTCTTTAGCTCAGTTATACTGAAGCTGATGACAGAAAGCCTGCAGGTTTTAGCTTTACATGCTCAAAGCTCCCCTTGCTGCCCTGAATCAGTGACATAAGGATACGGAGCATAGGACGCAGTCTGTAGTCAGGAATGTTGTTGAGGTTGACAAAAGCCGAGCTGAGGAGCTGCGTGGCGAGACCCTCCACGGTATAGAAATCCTGCTGCATGGAGGGGCCTGCATTTCCCAGGATGTGGAAACTACAATGCAAAAGCAAGTTACGCACAGCTGTGCTGGACAGCTGGGACACACCTGGCAAAGGCTGAAGGTGCTACCCTTTTGAGATTAGATGGTTCCCATGTTCTTATACAAACATTAAAGAGAAATCTTGGCATAGGATCTCCCTTTTAGGGAGATACCTGCAGAAAGATAACGCTTTAAACACATGCTTTTAAGTGTATGTTTTAAGATAAACAGTAACATACATTTCCAAGTGCTGATACTATATCCTAACACAGGATTAAAAGCAAGGAAACAAACTAGGTCAGGATACAGAAAGATCATTCCAGCCCTGCTAGACACTGTTACAGTGTTACAGGCAGATCCACACTTTGAGGCACTTCTTCAGCAACCCTGATCCACGTGTGTGTGGTGGAGTTAAGGAAAAGACCCAGCACATGTGGCTGGCCACAGCCCTGAATTAAGAGGGGACACATCTACCCGGGTGTGAGGTGCTCAACCTCCTCCCCTGAGGTTGAGCTAGGTTGAGGTAGGTTGCAGCTGTGAAGTGTAGTTCACCACTGCTCCTAGCACTTCAGAGATTATAGAATACAGCACACTTGAAAAGTGTAAGTCTAAAACAGGGCTGCACCCAGCGATGTCTTTCTGCACCAGCTGTGCAAAGCGAGATGGTACGTGGAAGCTGCATTGCTCTTACCAGTTGTCGTAGAGGGTACAGAAGAAGCCCTGCATCCTTTCCAAGACCGTTTTGTAAACGGGAGCATCATAAAGCTCCAGCAGAGGCTGAGGGAGACCTGTGGGAAAGAAAAACCCCAGCGTCGTAGGTAAGAACAGCGCGCGGGAGCGGCTGCAGGCAGGCGGGCCGGGCGGCAGGGAGGGAAGGCAGACGGAGCCAGCAGTTGCACAGCTCCTGCAGCAGCCCAGCCCTGCATGCCTGTGCTCACCTCTGCTGGGCAGCACTGCTGCCCCACGCTGCTAGTACGTCTAGCAGAGACCAGGACTTTGCTGCTTTACGTGCAGTAGCTCACAAAGTCAGAGCTCACAGGCGACAGAAGAGGTAGAGGAAGTTAGTCTGCTTATTTTACTGATAGGGAACAGAGCTAAAGCAACTTCAGCATCTTTAACTCTCTGTTAGAGTCTGAAATGAAACCTTACAGCCCATACTTGGGCCACCTGGACCCATTTTTGCTCTTCTTGGGAGACCTCCTGGGCTCACAAACTCAAGTTTCTTTTTACAAAGGCTCCAAAAGCCTCATTTTAGTATCATGCCTAGAAAGAGAGAGCAGGGCTGAAGTGGAGGTCTCCATGACCTCTATGACAGGTCTCTGCATGAGCTCTCCAGGATGCCACACATTCCTCCTGAAGAGAAGCTCCTTACCTAGTATGGCATTCTTCTCCACTTCCAGCATGTCTAAGGCCTTTGCAAATGTTTCTCCCAGCTTAGCCACCATCTCTGGTGTGTAGAGATCATTGTGAGTCCTGTAACAGAAGAGCACTTGGTTTATACTGGTGTGGGTCAACCCCTTTTGCCCTTGAGAGTGGGATCCTTTCCTTCAGCTTGTGAACAGCTCCTCTGTGGCAGACGATGAGGAAGGTGAGACCAAGCACGTATGCATGGGATCCCCCTTCCCCACCTGCGAAAATATGGGGGAAGTTCACCCGACAGAGACGTGGAGTGACTCCACCTCATGTCCTGAAGCTCCTGACTGCCCCTTGCACTTCCTTCAGTTTCCCCCACCCACTGTGAGTGCTGGCAATAAACTCCCAGCAATTCTCCACGGATGCTGGCAATAGCATATGAGCTTGGCCAAAGGGATCAGAGGACGTATCTTAAGAACTGACAGACACAGATTGTGTAATCTCAAAAGATTTCCTGCACCTAAGGCCCCTGCAGAGGGAGAGGCTTTTCCAGCTCCAAAATACACACGCTGCCCCCAGGGATGGGTCACAGCCCCCAGAACGGCAGGCAGTACTGGAGGGACTCTAGGGAGAACGTTAGTCCAAGAGAGGTTACTCGTGGCAGACACACGTGCCCCCTGGAAAACGCATCTGACTGGGAATAGCTCCACGGAATCAGGAGGCAGCCATGGTCAGCCCTCCTTGGGGAGCACCAGTTCAGCCTCGGGTGGCTGGTTCTTGCCATCCGGGCCAAAACGGGTCCCCTCTTAGCCAGGGTACTGACTTGCTTTCATAGCTGGACTCAGCAGGGGGAGTCTCTCTCACCTACCTCTCTCCTTTGAGACCTCAGACCTCCACTGTGGGTGTCGCAGCTGCACACAGCACAAATCCTGCAGCCTCCTCCAAAACTGCATTGCCACTGTACCTGCTGCTAGAGGTGATCAAGGCCAACTCAGTATCTGCCCCTAGAGCAGCGGTTCCCAAAGCAGGGGGATGCGTGGGAATGGCTGCAGGGAGGGAGCGTGGACGGACCTCAGTGCCTTCTCCAGAGTCTCAGCTTGCACACACGGCTTAAGGATTTGGGGATTTTTTTTTTTTGGAAGGTCTCGGTTCACAATCCTGGCACCCCGATGCAGTGACATCTGCCTGGGTTTGCAGAGAGCCTGCGTTAGCTCCCAAAAGGCAACGATCCCATTTCTGTCAGCAAGTGCTAAATACTTCCCTGCTCACAGCACGTGAGGAAGACAAATATGTAAGTTTTGCTTAAAATAACTACACAAATGACTTCTTAACCACTCATATCTCACTCTGGGCTGGATCTAACACCATGCAACAGCCCTCAAAGGGACAGAAGCTGGTTTTAATTTCTCAGCAGGAGCCAGGGAAAAGCCCAGGTTCCAGAAGTTTGGATAATGCTCATCCACTGAGTCTGAAAACTTGGTGTTTCTGCTTGATGCTCTCCTACAACCTAGCTCCAAAAATCATTTCCTCTTTCATGTCTCCTGCCTGCTCCCAGCCAAAGTTGGCTTCACCTTATACTGGTTAGAAAGATAATGTGGGAAAACCCAAGGACTGCAGAACTGTGGGGCAAACCTTGAAATCTGATTGCTCTAACCCCAGCAAAGGGGTCAGACAGTCACATCCTGATGCTGTACTCATGGTCCTTGGTGGATTCAGAATCCTTGAAGCATTTGCTCAAGTGTGACAGTTGGGAGAGCAGATGTTTGCTCACAGGCCAGTCTCCCTCATTCTGAACTACAGGAAGGTCCCAGTGGTGACAGAGAACATGGCTAATCAGTTGCTCCCCATAAGAGTCGAAAATCCCAAATCCCCTGTGCATGGAGAAGTTGTGGCCCCTAGGCATGGTCCAGCTGAGATTCTCAGCAGCGAGCAGCACTCCTGGGCATCCCTTACACAGGAGAACATGGAAAAACAAAATTCAAGAGACATTTATAATTCAGGTAAGACAAGAAAGGATATGACAGGGTGTCGGGAATGTATTCTCAGAGATGGGCACAGCTCTGCTGCAAAGGGTGTCTCTGCTGTCTAGAGACGTGGACTCATAGGCCTTAAGGCAGTCCAAGCCCACGCTTGAAGTTATCACCCATAGCTGGAGCCCTCTATGCTGGCTGAAGCCCTCACGGCACCCCCTGTGCACACAACCATTCTGCTCCAGTATTAATGCCACCCTCACATCAGCATCTCCTCGAGAAAGGTTCCAAAGAAGCCTTTCTTTGTGCAAAGCATTCGCTGAGCCTGACTAGCCAGTCCACTTGCAACAAAACACAAGCACACCCCAGCACCACAAAGATTTGTTGCACAAACCAGTCTGTGCATCTGCTGACTGCAGAGAAAGGCAGAAACTGTATGGGTGGCTGGAGATGGATGTGATTCAGGAAAGAAAAAATTTTAAGCAAAATTAACGCAGAAGCTAGAAAACAGCTAGATAAAGAGGCACAACAAAGGACAGGAAAACTATCACTCAGAAAGCTGCAAGCAATGAGCAAAGCAGCCCCATGACCACTCAGCAAATTTGGCTGCCAGAGACACAAGCATGGACAGACACAGACACGCTGGCAAGGACAGCACCTCTCCGTCTCTGCCACTCAAAACTGCCCTGCTTCCCTCACTATTTGGACTCCCTCTCCTTCCCGTTGACGTCAGGCACGAGCAAACCCCTGCCTTGGAGCAGCCCCTCTCTCCCTGCAGATGCAGCACAAGCACCACACGGCGCCCGGGGAGCGGCGCCCAGCGGGGCAGGCGCAGAGAGACCCCTTCTCTGTACGCTGGGGTCCGGCTTGGGGCGCTCGGGGCAGCTGCCGCCGCAGAGCCGCTGCCCCTGCCACCACCACCCCCTGCCAGGGGCTTCTCAGAGAAGCCGACCTCTCCAGCAGCAGCAGGGCCGCGCTCTGGGAAGCGGTTTGGTCCCGGCAGCATCCCGCCCAGCGCCGCGCTTCCTGAAGAAATCTTCGTGAAGATTTTAAGCTGAAAAGCTGTGAGCCTGTAGGTGTCACAGAGACCTCTGCAGCCAGCAGTAGCCCAGCAAAGTATCAAGTGGAGGATCCATTGCTCTCAATCCATCAGCTGTTTTGTCCTTCTTGGAGCATCCAGCCTTACGCACTTCCTTTGGGAAGGCCTGGATGCCTCCGAGCGAAGCATAAGCCGCTCTTGTATGTTACCAATCATTCTGAAGCATCCCAAAGTGGAGATGTTGGCCTGCAGCAGAGAAGCTGGAACAACCCAGGCGCGCTAGCTCAAAGCACAGCAAGGGAGCCTCTTCCTTTGTGCTGATGGGGAAGCACTGGCAACAGATCACAGCTGGGGCTCAGTCCTGGAGGCGATACAAAGGCAGGCGCAGCACTTCTGCTTCTTTACAGGTAGTGCAGTAGGAGTTCGGCAGAGAAAGGTGTAATTTAGTTTCCTCAGCTTGTCATAACAAGGACCCCAAGCGTTTTTAACAATGGACGAGTTCTGGCAAGAACAGCAACTGCACTGGCACAAAGCCGCTCCGTTGCAACCCACTCAAAACTTGGGCTCTCCCTACTCCACACAGTCTGCCTGAAGAGCTCATCCATCGGATCTCTGGCCTTCAGGAAAAAGGCAAACCACTTCCAAGCAGAGCTTCTCCGCACTACAGCCAGAAACAAGATGGTTCAGCCCTGTCCACAGGTCACGGTGCCACCCCCTGTGCAGCACAGGGCTCTGCAAGGAGGAACGACCGCCTCACCAGCGCTGGGGCCAGACCACACGCGCTTGCGCTACCAGCCCAGCACGCTGCTTCCCACCAGGAGGTGCAGCCCTGAACTCGCAGTGACACAAAGCACACCTGACTAGGCAGCGCTGGCAGTGGCAGAGCGCCCTGCTCACCAGCCTGGCAACTGAAAAACCTAAGTGGATCTGAAATGCTCCTTCCCAGCGGGCTCCTGCCAAGCACAGACAGATCCCCCACGTTCACAACACGCAGCGTTACCTCACAAACAGGCCTGTATTCTGGCAAAATCCCAGTGTCAGCTGTTCTACTGAGCTAGTTTCCTCACTTATAAATACGTAGGAAACACGTTACTCAAGGTTTGCCTTCTCTGCTTCCTCTCAGCCCTTCCTCTGGCTGGCCTAGAGGTGCCTGACCTCAGGGACGTGCAAGGCACCGCGGGCAGCGGCAGCCCCAGAGGCCACAGCGCTGGCTGCGGGAGCTGGCAGCGCTTCGGGACGCCACCTTTGGTACCCAGCAAAGCCAGCTTAACTCAACAGTGATGGGAGAACAAGGCAAACTGGATGCGATGAGAGCTGGGGCTGCCCTGGTAGTGACTGCAGAGGTGGCCTGGTGGGGGCTGAAGGCAGAGCAGAGATGTTAGTTGAGAAAGGAGTAAATGGACGGCAGATTTACAGTAGTGGAGGCAGGGGAGGCAACCCCATCCCCAGCCCCCACTGTCTTTGATGGACTCGTGTAGGCCAAGCCAAGGACGGCTCCAGCTGCCCAGTTCCATCCCCCACTGTGCACAGTGAGGAACAGGACCTGGGCACCTGCACCAGCCTGTGTTCCCGCTGGCTCCCCTGGGAGAACATGCTGTGAGCACTGCCATATTTATCACTGCTTGACTTTCAGCGGCTCTTAAATCAGCATAAATGATTTCAAGTCAACTAGACCCACCTTATGAGAGCAAGGAGGTTGTCGAGGAGTTTCAGGACCTGCTCAGTGCAGGGGTTGCGGTAGATGGGGCTGCCACTGGGCATGTAGCCGACCAGGAATCCTCCGGCCTTGGCCTCCTCCATAGCCGCGGGCCAGCGGGCTCGTTTCACCACTCCCAGGATGGTGTACACGCAGAAGCTGATCTGCAACATGGGCAAGAGACACGCGGCAAGCGCCGCGTCACCAGAGCGCAGCCCAAGTGAACGGGGCCCCAAAGAAACCTGCCACCCTTCCGTCCCGAGGGGAACGTGCCACAGAGAACCTAACAGGGTGACAGGGACAAACACCGGTGGGTTTGTTGCCAGGAAAATGAAGCAATCTGCTATGACACATTCCATCATTTTTAGGGAGACTGGGCTATGGCAGGAGAGCCTAGGAACATATTATCAGACAAAGCATCAATGTGTAAGTCTGAGGAGTACGCAGACAACTTGTTCAGAGGGCAGGGCTGCCCTCTAAAAGGAAGTGCCAATGTCATTACTCCCTCATCTCCTCCTTGTGCTGGGAGGGATAAGAACATCTGTCACCTCACAGCAATCAAACTGCACTGGCATCAGAGCAGAGCTCTATTGAATTATTGCAGTGTCTTCCACAGCCCTAAAGACAGCAACCCACCCACAGCCAGGCCATGAAGTAAAGGCAGTGGACTGCTGAACATCAATCAGAACATCAAACTCCTAGGAGGTATTTTAATTATATTCAATGCTGTAGTCTCAGCAGCACGTTTTCCACACTGCCTGGCTCAGGAAGCACAGCTCGCATCACCTGTTTCCAAAAATTGGGCTAACCAATTCCTTCCCACAAACCTAACTCTGCCACACCAACAGAAGGGAACAGAGCGCTTCACCCTGATGAATCAGCTGCTCTGGCATGACCTACATGCTCACAAAGGCTCAGAGAGGCAAATGTTGACCTGTCATTCTGCAGTGGGAAAACTGATCTGCATCCTTAAAAGGTGGATGATCTGGAAAGATCTTGTGTGTGTAGCCACAACACAAATGAAGGCTCTAAGGAGATGAGTTACCTCGCTCTAAGGATTAAGTCTCTCCCAGTAATGATACTCACTCGAGAACGGTTCAGGCCACTAGCATCTTCCAAGAGTGGATCAGTAATTTTGTTATCTGCACCCACATAGGCAATAAAGGCTTCAGGATCTGAGAGGACTCTGGCAAGAGAAAAAAGGCAGTGCTAGAGATTACTGTTTGTACCAGGGAGCTTTGCACAGAGTCTTACACCGGCAATAAACTTCTTAACAGAACAAGCTAGAGTCACTGGCTAGCACTCACCACTGTTCATGGAAAATTGAGGAAAAGCAGCAGGGGTCTGAGACTCTCCAAACACCCCCAGATCTCTTGGGCTGTGAGGACCCAAAGCCTCAGAAGCCCTTACAAAGCTGATACTTCTAAGAAAACTCTTGTATGTGCCCAGCAGTCCAGGGCTGCTGCCTGGAGCTGTGGGCCACCAACATCTGCTTTTAGGAAAGACAACTCAGCTCCCTGGCACCGTGCAAAAATGTCTCTTTTCCCATTTTCAGCAACTGCTTTGAACATGCTGGGAAGTGCCCCTCTACCACCTCAAACAATTTGTAGGGAGCCATTTTCAACAGGCAGCTCAGACTCAGTTGGCAGCTTCTCAAGGAGAGCTATTAACACAAGCAACCAGCAAGTGCCCAGCACAGAGGTCACCAGGCACCCTACCACCTACCACCCAGTATTCCCCATCGAGGCGGTGCCACCTCTGCAACACATCCAGCTCAAGCTCTGCAGTGCCCCATACCTCTGCATCTCTGCGGAGAGCCATAAGTTGGCAACAGGAGCCATGAGCTCCTCCAGGAAAGCTTTCTGCCGCTCGTAGTCCTTAAACTGGTTGCTGATGAGGACCAGGGCCTCCATAAGGGCACATTTCTCCATCTGTGTCAGAAGCAGCTCATTGGAGAGCAGCTGCTTCACGTGGTTGTACAACATATCGAAGTTTGGCTGGAAAAAACAACCCAAGCAAGACAGTGTCACATATTCGGTGTGGATGGGTGTCACTGCAGGAGGTAGGGGTACCCATCTCTAGGTTAATCACTATCTGCCACAGCAGGGTCACATCTCAGAATAGTTCGGGTCCTTTTATTTGCTGTCCCAAAGTACCTTGCTCTCGTGTCTCTGAGGTGCCAGACCTCTTCACTCACTGCTAGTCTAGTAAGTGCTCACATGGCTATCACCATGTCCACAGGAGTGGCCGAGCTTCCTCCCTACCCGCTCTAGTCACAACCATGTCTTCCTGGATCTCTGTACAAGCCTCGGGAATCATCTCCTTCAGCAAAGTCATCTAAAGATACTGTGGGGCAGCCCTGGGCCCTCAGCTCTTCCAGTGAGAATGGCTGGCTGCCTGGGAGGAAGGAGGAGTTCAGGGAGCAGTAGAATGGGACAAAGATAAAGTCACTAGTTCTTGGCAGGTGTTGCAAAAATGCAGACTGGAATCCCCAAATGACCTTAATTAGCATTCTCAAAACATCTTCTGTTTTATTACAGCCTGCAGATTAACCTGTAGCCACAAATTGAGAGCCTCACAGAACTTCTTTGTTTAAACTAGCAGTGTGCTCCAGTGCTCCCCTACCTCTAGGGCTACGCAAACACAAACACAAAAAAAGAAAAGGCACTTCAGAGCCACTTGGTTCAGCAAAAATCAAACAAAACATTACTTGGTGGATTTTAAAAGTAAATAGTTTATGTCTGTATTTTCTAACTTCCTCAAGCGAATCCAGAAGACAAACACTCTCTTTCTTCTCCTTCATTCTTTTAAGTAAGAGAAGAAAGTCTGCGGATCAGCCATTGCTAACATCTTTACCTAAGGAATCAGTTGCTATATATGACAAAACCAAAACTCAGCAAATGTATCCCTAAAACTGTCCCAGTGGTGCCTGTCTCCTCCCTTTCTCCTTTGGATTTAACTCATTTCAACTCTTCCAGCAGGAAACCACTCAAACGTGGGGGGTTGTCAGTGGGGGAAATAAATCATTTTGTTGCTGTTTATGCAGCTAAAGTATTTCCTTGAAGAAAAACAGGAATGCAGCCAAGAAATTAAAAATCTCACAAAATACAGTTGGAATTGAAGAAAGGCTCCTGAGGACCGACTTGGATTTACCTACCAGGACAAGCTGGGGGTAATCCCGGCACATCTTGATGATGGAGGAGCACGCGTGCCTCCTCACGTTCTTCACTGCTCGGGTTCGAGGAGCCTGGACAGACACAACACACTTCAGTGCAACAAAACAAAAGAGTTCAGACAAATGCAGAGCATCTTCAAGAGTCAAACCCATTACATGCCGGATTTTTTTTGCACTGCTGAGTGCAGATCAAAGCACCTGCCCAAAAGCGAGGACACGGCGCTGGCCAATTCCCTGGGCAGCCCAAGGCCCTCGTTTGGACAGGCTGTGCTCCAGCAGCGCGGGGCCGGGCGCCTCCCCGACTGCAGCAAGACTCTGAGCAGTCCCCAGGCAGCTGGCCCTTCACAGCAAACCAAGCACCAAGGAGCAGCGGCAGCTAACAACGAATTTCACTCTCAAGAGGGCCAGCACAGGGCTGGGTACTGAGCGCACTGGCCTCAGACACATGTCTGGGGCTTTCTAAACTTGTCAGCCAAGCTCATGAGGCCATGCCCACGGAGAAGGGATCAGCTGTCTGTACTCCCCTGCCCCTTCCAGGAGCAGGACTAAAGACGAGAAGCTTGCGACAGTGGAGTCTGCAGACTATGAGCTTTAGAACACAATAAATTTGATCTAACCATTACAGCATATTAAGAGAGAATAACTCAGACCTACCTTACTTTCTTCTATAACTTCAAAGGTAACTGAAGCAAACAGCTGTGAGAAAAGGGAGGAAAAATCCAAAAACCCACGTCACTTGTTAACATCTAGTACTCGCTTATATTTTGAGTTCAAGGAACAGATCAGAAGATACTGGTGCAATTTCTTTAAGTCAGTGAAAAACCCTTGACTAAGTTGAAAGGTGAACCATCAGCACAAAGAGGCCTTGAAATAAAACATGGTATTTATTGGCCATAGCTTAGTGTTATGACTTAGGACTGGGAATCATAATGTTTATGTTGACTGACTCTTGTTCACGGAGAAACAATATCTCAGTTTTCCTGTTTCTGATGCAAGGAACAGTCTTTGCTTCATAGGAAGCTCAAGAGCATTCACTAACATGTCTAGTACAAGGGCCTTACTCCACCCAAAGCCCACCTGATTTAGCAGGGCCTGCGGGTGCCTACCTTGGAAAGGACTTGCTGTAGGTATTCTGGGCGGTACGTGACGAACGGGAAGAGGGCAGAGATGTTGGTGAGCACACAGGAGAGGATGAGAGGATCCTTTGTTTCGTAACTGAGGACTAGCTGCAGGAGATCTATGCCGTCATTCACTGGGATTTCCTACAGGAGGTAGCAGAAAAAGAGAGAGAAGGAGGGGAAAAAAAAAAAAAAAAGCAGGCAACGCTCATTACTTCAGCCTGTAACACACATCTAGGTCTGCTAAAGCCAGGCCAAGAAGTTGTCACCATGATATTAGACCCCCTCAGTTGCAGTAGATTTTCTTAAAGCAGAAAGAAAAGCGGTGGAGACCTCAGTTTACCTATGTGCTGTATGTACTTGCTAGAGATAAAGGGTAGCAGCATTGCCATGATTGCTCAAGCAGTCTTAAAAGATGCCAGTCTGAAGTCCCTACTACTGTCTGCATCCTCAGGAAAGACAACTTTCCTCTCTCATTTTGTGTCCTGATTCTCCTTTTCACTCCAACAGATTTCACAATCAGCTAAATCAACCCTTAAAATTATTTTACAGTTATCCGAACAATGAACTAAAGTGCACGAGCAGCTTTATTCAATAAACACCAGTTTACAGGAGTTTAAGAAAAAATTTGCCTGCTGTTAACAAACAGAAGAGAGAAAATCTGTCTCATCTTCTGATCTCCTGCTCCTTCAGCATGAGTTTCACTCAATTAAGAATCCAAAAAAAAAAAAGAAAAGTGAAATCAGGGTACAACTGACAAAATAACCTCAGTAAATTCCACCTAAGCTGCCCTCTTCTTGTCTAGCAAGGCCCTACGTAGAAGTGCCACCTCTGTGCCCTCCTGTGTTACAGGGAGTAACACCTAGAATCAGGATGTATCTGACAGAAAGCCAACATGGGGTTAGTCTCATCTACAGCATCACTGCTCCTCGGGATAATCATTCACCAAACAATCCAGGGTTTTGCATGGAGGTAAATGCTTACTACAAGATTTTCAAAGACAACACAGCTGAAAATCACCCATGTAAATGCAGAACAAGCCAGGAAAGCAGGCAAGAGCATTTGGTGCACGTACATCTTTATCCAGCGTTCGAAACATCTGGCTGATGACGCTCTCCGAGAAGAAGGTCATGGCATCCCACTGAACAAAGGAGGGAGAGAAGATGGAGCAGACCCCTTCGCCCGTCTTGGCTGCAAGGAAAAGAACATGGGAGCTTTCATCGCGCTCCTCCCATCGCGCGCGGCACCAGCCCTGTCAGCTCTCACGATGCGACGTTTTAGCGCTCAGGAATTTCTGCCATGCTTTTCTCCCCGCACGTCTGGTGGGGATGCACTGGAAGCAATTAAGGCACTCCAGTATCATCTGCCTTACTTAGGCGAAGGGTCCTGAGCCAGAAGGCTGATCCTAAAGAGGGTGTAGCACCAACAAACCACAGAAGCAAAAAGAAAAGGAGGTACCACAAGCCCAGGTTCAGCACTGCAGGCAGGACAGCACTCACTGAGGCTTCTTGGGGAACCAAGTGGCCTTCAGGGGAGGAAAGTAAGGTGACTGATGGAAAGATTTGCCAGTCAGGCTGAACTCCCCTTGGCAAGAAATAATCAATTGGCTACAGTGATGATAAGGTCCAAATAATAATAATGCATCTGCTCTGCAAGGAGAGTTTGGAGAAAGAAAGAAAGAGTTTCCCCGCTAGCCTGAGGCTCCACAGTAGTTTACACTCTCAGCAGCGGAAGTAGGCTACAAATGGTTAACTCTGTGGGTTTAGGGCTTTTTTTTCGTTCTCTCTCTCACTTGCAAAGATCTTGAAGCCTTAAAAACGCAATCAAGATGTCTGTTTCCCCATAAAAAGTGTGCTGTAGGAAAAAGGCAAAGAATATTTTACTTGGCTTAAAAAGAAAGCTAAATTCCATGTGAGTGTGTGCATTTCTCTCCCCTCAGATAACTTACAGTTCATGGATCCTGCATCAAAAGGAAGCGAGAGCTGGTACTTCAGCCACTCCCCAGCCATTTGGAAGCCAGTCCGGGGGTCCAGGCGACAGGCCATCCTCATCACCTCTCCTTGCTGGGCTCGAAAAGCTGCAGTGAAAATTGGACACATGTAACAACCCCAATAACAAATGCTCCCTCCCCAAAACTCACCCTGCAGCTTTCCAGACCTGGGAACATTGTGAATATAGATGGTAAACAGGGTGGACATTTTTTTTTTGAAAAGATATAAATGGATTTTAAAATGAGGAATTAACATAAACACAATTAAAATGTAAGCAGAACTATGAAAAAAACTATCCTTAAACTAGATTTGCTATAACTGGGCATCTATTTTTCATTTTGTATTTCTTCAAAATGTATGTATTTGCTGCTTACAAAGCACCATGAAATGCTGAGATGCTAAATCAGCATTAGATAACCATGACTGCCTTTAGCTAAACAATTTCACCCTCCCAGGAATATTTAACTTAATACAGATCACTGGCAGGTTCTAGAATGCAAAGCTAATGACACCCTGGGTCAAAACAACAACCAACCAACCACCAACCAAAACCAAGAAATCTTGTTTTCATGTTCAAAGCTATGAACAAAAGTAAAGGACAAGAACAGGAATTTATTTGCTTGAAAATCTTCCAGCACAGCAGCACACAAAAAAATCAGCTCAACTGGCTACAGATAAAACTTGCATTGCTTAAAAAAGATACTTATCCAATAAGTTAGTTTTGTATTTCCAAACAGTTTTATCTTTTTATGTACATAACACCTTCAGCATCATTTAGCTCCCAAAAACCAATTCTGACTTTGTGCATTTAGCTGTCTTTTGAGTTCCACCCAAGTAGATTTAATACCACATATAAAATCCAACTAACTTAACAATACAAAAATGCCACACTCATTTTCAAACATAAATGTAAAATGTATGTTTAAACATTTTACATAAATGTAAAAATTAAGAATTTAGTTTATTATACTGTGAGGCTATGGAACCTCCTCCTTTGGAGACGTTCAAAACCCACCTGGATGCAACTGGGTGCCACGTGCTCCAGGTGTCCCTGCTGGAGCAGGGGGATTGGATCCCTAGAGGTCCCTTCCAACCTCAACCATTCTGTGATTCTGTGTGATTACAGCTCAACATATAATTCAATGAAGTATACAGTATATCCTCTCAGCTACCAAGTAAACACCGGACTATAGCAGCCAATGAGAACTAATCTCATTTTCCAGAAGTAAAACACAAAACAAAAATAAAATTAGAAGAGGGCTCCCTGTCTGCTGATTTAAGATAATGATTAAGACCACCTATTTTCAACTGATCAACCCCAACTACTGGGACTGAAGCAGAAGCTACTCAGCAGGGCAGAAACATCTACCTTTCAGCGATGACACTTAACAACTTGTGTAAGCTGCCTCCTTCCTAGTCACAGGACAGGACTCCAGGCTAATGCCTCCGGGCAGCCCAGAAACCCATTTTTTTTTGATACTAGGTAGTGATGGCTACTTGGCCATCCACCTAGACAACAAAGTAATAGCAAAGTGATACCAAAGAAGAACATGAGCTGACCCAGGAAAAATCTCACAATCCCCCAACTCCAAGATGCAGGCTGAAAGAGTCACAAGAGTATTGGCAGCTGCCAAGTCAACCTAGCAGGCTCCAAACTCAAGTCAGCAGATGAAATGAAAAGGCACAAAAAAAGCATCCATACAGGGGCAAGGGCAACTTACAGTTGAAGAAGGCGTTGAAGTCCTCATCGCTGTCAAAATCGAAACGAGAGTACTCACAACTGGGGCTATCCGATTTGGAGGGAAAGCCCACCTGGGGATAGAGAGGAGAAGGTCAAGGAGGAAGAGAAGCACCCATCACAGCTAATTCCAGCTTCAAGGAGACCAAGACTAAAGGCAGGCAGCAGACAGCGAAAGGCTGACATTAGCGCTGTTGCTCAGCAGCCTGGGGATTGTGACTCTGGCAGCCACAGAATTAAAATTTCAGTTTCTCCCCTGTGCTCTGCAGGCCATGTTCATCTTGGCTCCTATTGACACTGACCTGGCCACAGTTCCCACCTACCTTCACCAAGTTGGTCATGGATGCACGAAGGTACTTGGGAATCGTAGCCAGCAACAAGGGGTCCCGAGACAGAACGTCGTGCCGGAAAAGGGCTCCCCAGGTGATCTGGGTGGAAGAGCGCAGGAACTGTGGGGGAGAGGGAGGAAAGGAAGGAGTCAGAGAAGGTTTGCAGTGCTATCTACTGCTGACATCCAAGCGTTGCAATCAGAAAGCAACAGTAAATCATTCTGTTGAGGGCAAGGCATGCTGCAGGCTCAACCCAAACATTCATGAAGACAAAAATCTCTCTAAAAAAAGCGCTCAGACTACTTCAAATCCTGCAAATCCTGCTCAGCACCTCTGTGCTAGCCACCATGCCTAATGGGACGGCAGAGCAGGAGAAAACACTTTGTGCTTCCTATCTTCAGCTGAAAGGGAAGAGCCATATCCAGCTGTCAAATATGCAGCACTTGAAGTTCTGCAGTCTTCTTATACATACATATACACACATACATGCGTGTATATACCTAAACTGCATTCATACATTCATATACAGATGCAGACACTACACTAAAAACCTTCGGTCCTTCACATACCTGGCTGGGATGGGTTGTGAAGGCTAAAAATGAGTCAAGGTATTTTCCAAAGTTGGTTGGTGTTTCCACCTCAGAATCTGAGCCCTGTTAGGAAGACAAACAATTTCAGACTAACCTCACGTCAGGCCAGGTCACAAGCGTATGTCTTCAAGTAAAGCAGGTGTGCTGTATCCAGCGCCAAAGATTGCAAGGAAGGGGAGAAGAAACCACGACAGAAGAAATCCCCAGATCCCAACACATTGCTTCACTACAGACTAACAGCAAAGTCACCACTGCTGGAACTAACTAGGCATCCTTTGTTTGCCGTCCATTCTTGCTAGGATTATTGTGATACCCCTGTCCCTTCCCTCCCCCCAAACCCCAATGGGTCTTCTTTGTTTCTGTGAGGGTTGCTCTGCCCTACCACTTCTCATAGTCTGGCTGCCTCGGGCCCCCACACACAGCCCCTCTCCATGAGCCTCGCTCCCTTCCTGTGCCGATGCGGGCAGCACAGCACCCAAACCACCAGTGTACATCTGCCTCTCAGCACTGACACAAAGGGCATCAGGAGGACAAACAGCAGGAAGACAAGATTTTTTCTTAGCTTGACAGAAGAACAAACAGACACACTCTTTTGAGGATATCTAGTGTGGAATTTTAAAAGGTTTCCCACACAGGAACAATTTTGTTAAGTAGCTCTCCTGCAGCAGTAGAGACAGCAACAAACCTAAACCATTCTCAATAATGCTTCATCGTTTCACAAAGGTAACACAAGATGACTCTTGGTGACAGCACAGGCCTGGAATCAGGGCACATCCCCTCCATTCCACATTCCTAAGACCTGGCAGGATTCAGTCACCCCACCATTAAGCAAACCATTTTTTGCCTCTTCCAACCACGTGGAGAGAGCCCTAGGGCTTTAGGGCCAACCACACTTAGAAGAGGGCTGCCTCGTTCCAAGCCCTGAAGAGCAGCCTTGCCAGGAATGCTGCTGGCATTAGTACTTACTGCTAGAACAGCAGACACTTACCAGCAGCGCACACAGCTGGCTGCCCAGCGCACACAACACTTGGCACAGTCGCTTCAAGAAAACATAGTGCTTCTCCACCAGGCCCTCCCCATCTGCTGTCCTGGGAACGAGGAGAACGGGAAATACAGGGTAGCAGTTACACAGGCTGCAAGAGACGGGCATGCTGCTATCTTGTAAAGAAAAAGAGCTCTGCAATGATTTAATTTTATCTCAGTGGAATTTCCTACTAATGACACAATACTTTAATTAATGTCTAAACCCTCTAGATTTGGCTCTCTCTCAAAATCCCTCCTGATCAGCTGTAGGCCAAAAGAGAGAGCTGGGGAAACTGAGATGCTCATACCACTTCGTTCTTCAATTAGAGAATTAAGCGAAAATGCTGTTTTTCCAGTTTTACAAAAAGAGAGCTTCTGTTCTTTCCTAATCCAACCCCAGCTTGCTGTAGTTGAGCAGCAAGGTCTTTTGCAAATGGAAGGCCATTTGTAGACAATTTCGTGAGAAATTACAGCAGCAGGATGGTACTCACTGGGCAGCGGAGAGAATGTAGTGCATGGCAACGTCTCCAAACAGGACCATCAGGGGCTTCCGATCCTCCAGCTTCCCCTAGGCAGAAAGTAAGACAAACACCTCAGAACATGACTGTTTCTTCCCATCTGTAAGTGGAGATGAAGACTTCAGGTGTTCTTCCACCTGGGGACAGGGTGGCTTTCCATAGGTGATCTCAGTAAAAAGCACTACTAAAAAGTATCTAAGGCATTCCTCATTTCAAGCATTTTCCCCAGCTCCTAGCACCACAGGGGCTTTAGGCTGAAAAACTCATCCTCACACATGAGGTCCTCACTGCATCATTTTTATTCACTGCAGACTGGCTGGTTACTTAAAGGTAGCAGATGAACAATCAGCCTAGACATTAAGACTCTTGTAAACACAGAGGATCACAGCACCTTTTAAGTCCTGTTATCATTGCTTGAGGCACTAAGCTGCTAGGTGACACAGTTAGGTGACGATATTTTGCACCTCTCCCCAGTCATAGAAAGCACCACGGAAAAGAAGAAAAAAAAATCAGTGGGGATCCCCAAATTTCAAAGCTGTGAGGAGAGGCACGGACAGACATTGAAGAGGGTTCCAGCAGTTACTCTATGTATTGTACCGGTATGACATGCACTCTAAAAGCCATTAACATGAGCAGCCAAAAATAAGTAGAACTTTATTTCCTTAAACAAATAGGCAAAGACATCCTTGCTTAATCTGAATAAATACATGAGTGAAGGAGGAAAAAAAGTGTGTGAGGGGGTGTGGGGATAGCGTCAAAGAGGCAAGCAGAAAACTCACTTTTCTGCTGACAGCAATCAGGAGACACTCAGCTGCTCCTACTTGGAGCTCAGGTTCATTTAGGAGCAGACACAACATCTCGAGGAGCTTGCAGTTGTCTGCTGTGATGTGGCTCAGGGCCACCCAGTCAATGTAGCCCGCCAAGGTGTTGAGGGCTGCAATCCCCACACGGCAATTTGCCTGGGCCTGCAAACAGAGAGGAGCCAAGAGGTCAGAGCCAAAGAGAACATCCACTTCCCAGGAGAGCAACATCAAGAACTCCCCTGAGTCAGCAAAAAGGTCCACGTCCTCACGCTAAGGAAGCCGGGCAAGGCCTGGGCATTCCTCCCCTTGTGCACCTCTCACTTCACCACCAGAGTTTGTACTGCAGGTGGGTGGATAAGCCAGTAGCAGACTCCACAGTCTGGCAGAAGAGCATTTTGGAACAACCGTGTGAATGGCTACGGCACTGATCCTTACACAGCTGCACTCACCTTCGGCTCCTGACCCAGATCGGCCTTCTGGAAAAGAAAACAAGAGACGGTAGGTGAGCAGCTACGGCAGACACTGCCACCAGCCACTTCTGCACGGACTCATGCTTGAGAAAGCAGCTTCATGGAGCAGCTCCCTCGTGAAAGGGCTCCAATGCTGCCTGCAGCTCAGGACATCAACGCAGCCCGCACAACCACTTCTACAGCCCCATGGCACATAAGAAAACCAAACTTTCAATTGCAAGCTTGGCCACAATTTCCTTCTCATCCAAAAGATGACAATGCAGTCAGCAGTCACCAGGGGGGCACAGGGGACAAGAAGGAAAGGCACTTCAGTGTTTCCTGAAAACGTCCAGGGAAGACGCTTTTATCCTTTATTGATGTAAGAGCATCTTACATTGAGGAACCAGTCTCTGAAAGATGCAGGTGGCTTCTACCTCATGAGACTGATGCATGAAATGGAAATGATTTGGTCCGCAGTCAGGAAAGCAGCAGGTGAAAGCTGGGGCAAGAACTTAGGGCCTGACTTGCAGCTCCATACACCTAGCAGCAGCAATGCACTGCTTGAACCAGCTTTTTGCCTAACTGGTGCAAAGGCAGTTTGGCTGCCACGGACATTCAGGTTTGATCAGCTCCTCACAGTCAAAGACATCACAAGTGTATCTTCCTGCTGCAAGGGCTTGGTTTGGAAACTCTGTCCACCAACATATTCTGGGCAGTGATTTTAAGTCACTCTGTGCCTGAACCATTTAACACTGAGCCACAGGGGCAGAATTGCATTCTCAACCACAGATAAGGGTCTTGGAGAGCTGCACATGGCCTCCAGTAGCGTCAGTGTACAGACCTGCAACTGAACACCCAACCCTCATGATTTACCCTGTGCACAAACATCCCAAAGATCTGCTAACCTGTGGAGTGGTGAGGGCTTCTTGTTCCTGGGGTGCTCCAACCTTGCCAATCAGAAAGATTCCACCGTTAGCAGAAGCAGCCACACTTCAGAGCCTCAAGCACTGCAATTCAAACCTTACCTGGAAATGCATTTCAGCCAGACTACAAAACGCACCAGGGTTTCCCATCCACCACCATGAACTGCCTGCTCTACAGCAGGATTTGTTCAGTCTGTTAGTGCAGCAGGAAAGCAGACACAAATCAGCCAGGACTGTCAGCTAGGACAGACTCTTCCATTGCCTCCCAGCTTCACATTTAGTGTAGCTCCAGAATCCAATTCACAAAGAATGAGCAGTACACATAAGCAACTATTTCTAGCCTGCTTTTTGCTATATGCTTCACCTTCTCCGACCTAACTCCACATGAGAACAGCCTGAACCTTCTGCCTTCACCTTCCATCTCGACCAACTAGAATGCCTCTGACACCAGGTAAGAATTCAGGAAAGAAGAGGCCTCTTTAGGAAACCCTCTTCTGTCAATACATGCTGAGGAAGGCTCTTGCCTTTTGCCTAATCTGAGTTCTAGGACACAAGGACCAGACAGTCCCAGATACAATGCTGAGACATGAGACACCAGAAACACACACATTTTGGAGCATCTACGTGAGTATGTACCTGCAGCAAAGGACAGTGCAAATATTTGCCCAGGATGACATCTCTTTACCAACATTGTTACCAAAGCTACCTTAAATCAACCCGTTTCTGCCACAACCACACCTTCACATTGCTCAGCTGTACACCCCAAGTGTCAGCCAGATGAATTGCCCAGCAAGCACGATGCACACATTCACTCAAGAGCTTTACACAAGTCAGACTATCAGTGCCAATCCTGTCACCTTGTGCACTCACACTTTTAGATCAGCACAGGCTTCCTTGGTCACAGCAGATTTCAGAGAGTTTCTAGCACTTGCTTCCCAGATGATTCTCAAACTCCTAAAAGCCTCTAGCACTGACTGAACCCAAGGAAAGGAGACTCTTACCATGCGCCTGTATTTGTTGACGTTCTGCTGCAAGGCAGTAAGCAGGAAGTTGAAGATCTTCTCCATGTTCTGGGTGAGCGTTTGCTGGATATCTCGTCGCCGCTGGGTAGGCAGCGTTTGAAAAGTCACGACGTCCTCTGCCAAGCGTAGGAGGATGAACATCACCAGTTCTGTCTGTGTTTCCTGATGTCACAAAATGAAACACACACCATGAGTCCAGCTGAAACATTAAAACCTTAAGAGACCAGCTGAGAGGTGACGACAGAGGGAGAACTTGAAAGAAAATACAAGCTGTTGCTTGTGGACACAGACAGGAGGTTTGCCTCTGCTGAAACCATCTCCTAGAATCTCCTAGACTCATACAGGGATATTTGAGTCTACCTTGCTCAACCACAAGCTAGGCTTTCTTCAGGATGGTGGAAGACCAAAACCTACCCTACAGCCAGTGGAAGAGAACAGGTGTGTTTCCTACCCCTTGCTTGGAGAGGGTATCCAGCTCCATTAGCATATCAGGCCAGTGCTGCGGCCACTCCCGCTTGATCATCTCCACCACAATGCGAGACAGAACATCCTTAATGTGACTTTCCTCCTCTAGGATGCTTTGAGTTCCCTGCAAGAGACAGGGGGCAGAGTTATACAAGCAGCAAAACCCACGACGTTCATCATTCTGAGACAAGAGGCAGAGTGCCTGAAAATATTCTGGATGGCTTCAAAAGGAATGAAAACAAGCAAAGCATCAAAAACCATGCAAACCCCAACTCTCACCACAAACAGCTCTTGATCCCAGCTACCTTGAAGAGCACTCCCATCCTCCCATATGTCCACAGCTAGCGAACTGTGGGCACCAAAAGGATTTTCCTGAAAGGGAGGTCACTTGGTCCTGAGAGCAATTGCATCTATATTGTAAAAACAATTTTAGCATTCTTGCAAAGGACAAGAGTGTTCACATTTACTGAACATCCTTCTAAGAAAAACAGAAGCAGCTTAAATGTCTCATGAAAGCCTCGCAGTTTCCAGCCATTTGAGGTGGCAAGGCTATCCTGTACACAAGCTAAAGTGATAAACGTGGTGGAACAGTCAGGGCCATACAGCAAGAAGGTAATGAAACACAGAACTGAACTCAGGTCCCTCTTTGGTAATTTCTTGGAAGGGATTTTTTCTCTCTCTCTCTCTCTCTCTCTCTTTTTTCCCCCACCCTTCCATTTTCACTCCCACTATCCATCTCTGAGAGAGAGAATCATTCCTTAGAGGATAATACAGGGGAAGAAGGTACTTACACTGGAGATGAGGCTCATGACATTATTCTTTAAGTAAACCTTCTCCAGGCGAGGCATATTGTTCCAGCGGAACCTGTCCAGTAGAAGAATAATAAATAAATAAAAAGACACAACACCAAATCAAAGCACTTACAAAGATTTCTGACTTGATTCTCAATGAACTTTCATTTCTTTGCCTAAATTATAGAGAATACAGTTCTACAACTCAGTGTTCTGCTAGCGCCCGACCTATTAATGAAAACATTGAGTTAAAGTTACTTCTAGTAAACAGGTGGGCGTTGCTGAGGTCAACAGGCATGAAAAGTGGCAGCAAAACCACAAAGTATCAGATCTGCAGTAGTCAAAGAGGAATCTCAGAACTTAACTAACACAAGCACTATGGGTTAGCATGAGACTAACGACAGGGATCCCTGCAAAGACAGTCCTTTGCACCTGCTTACATTTTGCAAGGTTAGGTTAAGTCAGAGCTCTAAGACACACTATGTGAACCACCTGAAATCATTTTTTTTCCACTCCTTGTTTCACAGAGGAGAAAATAAACAGAGACCAGGGCAACAACTGGCACCTGCTGCAGAGCGGGCTCTCTGCCTCCCGAAACCCTCTCCCTGTGCCAGGTGGCAGCGGCCGGGCACGGAGCTCCCTTACTTGACCACGTGCTCCAGGATCTGCAGGCCGAAGTGCCGGACGATGGCTGTCTGCGTCTTCTCGGCCAGCTTGAGCCCGCAGGGCACGCAGATGGGGCACTTCTCCTTGAACTCCTCGCAGAACTAGCGAAGGAGTCGGCAGGAAAAACGTGAGAGCGGGAGCGCATGGCTGGGGGGATAACGGGAAGGGGAGGGGAGCTCCAAAGAAAACGGGGAGATAGAGAGAAAAGGACCCTGCAGGGATGAGGTGAGGGGAGAAACGGGGAAGGAACCCCGAGGAAATGGGGAGGAGAGGGGAAGGAGCCCTCCAGAAGCGAGAGGGGTGCGGGAAGGCGTGGGGAACCCAGGGGAAAG